GATCAGGCTGCATTCAAACGTATCAAACCATGTCCAGAAAGAAGGATACTTTGACGAGAATGTCTGCAAAACACACTAGATCTAGGTATAATTCAGCGGGAGTATGTTACACTTTGTGCTCGTTGACGCCCGACGGTAGACCTTGTCATACAGGAAAGGAAACAGGCCCAGTCTTTCTATTATCTTTCTTTAAAGGGGTGGGGTGAGATGGAGAGAGGGGTTGCATCAAAACATTTCTTTCTACTTTCTGATGCAATTACGTACCAACTGGTGGCCATTAACGACGAAGAAGAATTGGACAATTTTTCACAGACGCCAAACCCCCTCCCCCCCCCCCCTCAACACACACACACACACACACACACACACACACACACACACACACACACACACACACACACACACACACACACATACCTGTCCCTCTCTTTCCATGTGTCCGTGCACCCGTTGTCGTGTTGGGGGGCCGGGATTAAGGACATTATTCGGATACAGGTTCAAATATCAAAAGCATATTTTTAACGCTGTCTGAACAAGCAAAGTTCGAGCAGGTTGCTTTAAATATTCTGTTAGATGAATATTTTCTACAGTTCCCGTCCCCTCCACATACACATAGTCAAAGCTTGTTCACTTTCGTCTGTCCGTGTTTTTAAAAAGTAGCTTATTTATCAACTTACCTATGAAACTTCGAATGGCATTTCTGCAGGCCAAAGACCAAACAAAAATGTTTCTTTGAAAAAAATCGTAATTCAATAATAAAACAAAACGTTCCTCTATTTGGGCCCTATTTTTATAAACTCCCCCTATGGATGCACACACAATATCACTAAATTATATTTTATAGTAATCTAGCCTACTAATTGCTCATTTTGAGACATCGACACTACCCTGGTCTACATTGTCTAGTCATCTCCATGTGAGTCTCGAAAAGTAGCCAGCCGTCTGTTTGACAGTGTTTCTCAGGTGTACATAAAAGTGCGGTGTTGATGAAAATATATCATCTGATAAATATTGTATGTGTATGCTGTTAATCCCCTATTGTTTATTTGACCCGCTTTAGGCTAACATCGAAGAAAACGCCGTGTTGGAACCTCAGTTTACAGTGCATTTCGTGAGGAGCCTGTTAGATTTTGTTGGACATCCAACTTTAAGTCCCGTTCGCAAAGAATTGAAAGATTACACAGAGCGATTTTATTCTTATCTTGTTTTAACTGCGGTCAGACGAAAGTAAACAAGCTTTAGTCACTTAATCACTGCACTTGTCGTAGACCATTTCCAACGTACAAAAAATCCGAAGGTGTCAATCAGTGGTACTCTTTACTGAATATACTTCAATTGTTAAAAGAAAACTAAAACCATTCAGTACTCGAATTTTTCATATTATTCCTCGGCAGTAGTCAATGAATTATGTTTTGTTTGTATTCCTAGAAGGGTGCATTTTTCGTGAAACTGCTTTAAAAAAATTATTTTTGTGATCAGCAGAAAGAGTACATGTTTTTTAAATTTTGTAATAAAACAACTTAAATATATCAAATTAATAATGATTTGATTTTCACTTGAAGAGCTAAAAGTTCTACGTTGTCTTAAATGAACATTTTGAAAAGAATTTGTCAAATTGCTTTAAAAACTATTTGTTTTTTATAATCCTAACTCTAAACTTTCGATATAATTTGAATACAACAAGCAACGCCATACCTATCATCACTAAGTGCAGAGGAAGTGCCTGACTTGAATTCTAAAAAAAAACCCAGAAATTCATTTCCACATTCATCCTCATCTAGAGTATGGAAATGTGGTCTGGCACACCAGACTTAAAGGTGATGAAGAACAACTTGAAAAAGTGCAACGTCGGGCAACCAAACTAATTCCTGAACTACAGCACCTTGCTTACTGCGATCGTCTCAGAAAATTGGATCTGCCATCGCTGTACTATCGGAGAGCTAGAGGCGACATGATTGAATGTTACAAGTATTTAACAGGAATTTACAACGTAACGGGAGATATTTTATCCCGCGATCTTCACTCTAACACCAGGGAACACTGTCTAAAACTGAAAAAAACCCATGTGAAAACAGCAGTCCACCAAAACTTCTTCAGCGTACGCACAGTTAACGTTGGAATTCCCTACCGGAAAATGTGGTGTCTGCACCATCCTTGAATACTTCCAAGAATAGGATTGACATGGTCTGGAAGGAACATAAATTCTCTATGAATCTAGATTAGTTTCAAACTGTCAGATCCATGTCCCATGAGCACTAACCTACAGATACCAGAGTGTGAAAACAACGTGCAGGAAGGAATAAGCAACGAAAGCAACGAACGGCTGATAGGCGACTAGCCTGACCACAGCCGTATTTCATACTACTACATCTACTCAGGGCTCTTAAAAATTTTTTTGCCATGTAGATGTGAGGATATAACGTTTTCATATTTCCCAAAGAACAACCAGGGTTTAGGTATCACAATGAAATTGATATTGATATGTGAGTATGCGCGGGGCTCTGGGGGCCTATCTCATTTCGTCGTCCTTGTGGCGAACGGAATGGGTGGGATAGGGGGAGGGTAGGATGTGGTGAAGTGGAACACGGGGTTGGGCTGGGTGGGATAAAGTGGGTGAAATGAAAAAAGGGGGGAAGGGGTTATTCTAACTCGTCCAGAGTTTTGCAAAACATGCGTGCCCCACGAATGCATTCAACCGAAACTGGAGAAACGAGCAAGGTAGAGGTTTTATAAACGCGGCTTGTGAAGATTTTATAATACTTCTACGAAGTCAACCCTCTGGAACACCGTGTTCTATAAAAATATACGCCTGGAGGTCAAATACTTCATAACTGAAAAGTGTAGCAATTGAAATTTTTGGCAGAGATAATCATGTACAGCGTTCAGTTGGGTCAACTATATCTTTCGCTACTACTTCTTGTTGAACATACCGAGCTTGTGAACTCAAGAGCAAACAGTAACACGCTTTATTTGTCAAGCCAGGAAGAGTCAGATGCTAGAGCTGCAATAAACCGAAGTGCAGCCCCAAACACTAGTGGGTTTGCGTCCTCCCCGTGTACTTCGACAACAGTTGTTGGTGGTGTTTTTGTGGACTGCAGCCATAAGTCCATCTCGACTATCGACCCGTCGTGGTTCCCTGAAAACACGGTAAAGATTTGTTTGGATTCAAATAATCTGGAGACAATTAGAAATAGAGTGTTCTCACACTTGTCAAAGCTTGAAAATCTCAGTCTATATGCAAACAGGATCACGACGTTGGAGCCCAACGCTTTCAGTGGCCTTGATAATTTAACAGATTTGAATTTAGAGGAAAATCTGTTACAAATTTCCAGTAAATCATTTCCTTCAAATGTATTTGTGCCTTTAACAAACCTACGCACATTGAAATTAAAGCAAAGAAAACATCCAGTTTCAAACTCCTACCCGTCGGGATTCATATTCAATCTGACTAATTTAGAGTATTTGAGCATCAACGGTATCGGAAAAGTTCTTCAGATTGGTGCTGAATTTTGTAACTTTAAGAAATTAACACATTTAGATATATCCGGATATTCCGAAAAGGTGAGCAACGAAACATTCTTTAATTTGAGCTGCATTGATCAAAGGTTGAAACTCTGGGTAAGCGGAACTGTAAACAGTTATGCCTTTGACGAAGATGCGTTGGCGCCACTAAAGAACAGTCCTGTACAGTTATATGTGAACAGCTTTTTTATGGGTGTGCAGAAGACGCTCGCTGTTTTAAAGCCTTTGCAGGGTTCGAAAATGGACGCAATAAACTTCAAATATACTTCTCTGTCGCCATTCAATTCTTTCGGAGGAATTATTTCACAGGATAGTGTGGTAACACATTCATCTACAAAGTACTTAAGAAATATCTGTGTTGAAAGAATTGGATTGCTGTACACTAATATTTATGTCCTAGAACCTGGTGCTTTTTCCGGTGGCTTTTTCGATGCATGCTTGAAAAAGTTAGATTTATCTGGTAATTTCATTTGTGGATCCTTTTCAGCTGTAATACAAATAATGCGTTTGAAATCGTTGGAAGAAGTCGTTTATATTGAAGGACACTCAGATTACCAACGAAACATCAAATCGCGTTCAGCGATGTCAAGATATAATAATGATATGTCAAATGCTCTTGAAAAACAAAACCATTCAGGACCCACAATTTTCGGAAGCCCGAATACCACAATATACACCGGGGCTAAACCTTTCATTCGCACTACCACAGCGTTCATAGGAAAAAACATCCGCCGCATTGACATTCAGCTCAAAGGGACGCAGGCTTCTACAACAGCTGATGCAAATTTTATCTTTATCGGAGCGGGAAATTTAACAACACTTGTATGCTCGTCTTGCGGATTACATATCTTTACTGGACATATATCAGGTCTAGAAAACTTGAAGTATGTAGATTTTTCTTATAATTCTTTGGAAGTGATCAGTGAACAATATTTTGATCGTTTCCCTAGTATAGAGAAGTTGGTACTTCATGATGTGGCTTTTGATCCCTCTTTCATGACCAGACAAAGCGCACGTCTTTTAAAAAAACTTTCAAATTTAACCATTTTGGATCTGTCGAATAATTATCTAGCTCTCCTGGAAGATCAAAGCTTTGTTCTAAATGAACTTTTAGAAGACATTGATTTGTCAAATAACAGATTTAAAGCAGTTCCTTTTAACTTGATGTCAACTCCGAACTTGAAGTATCTGGATCTAACAAACAACGCAATATCATCACTGAGTGCAGAAGAAATGTTCGACTTTGATACCAAGGCAAGTTTGATTCCTTCAATGAGACTGCTTTTAGCAGGAAACATTATGTCATGCGGATGTGCAGACATTAAATACTTGCACTGGCTCCGGAACACACAAGTTCAGCTTGACAACAATGCAATCTACTCTTGCATCAACAAAAATGGGAAAATTGTCTCTACCAATGATTATGACGATTTAAAAATGCTATGGCGTTTGTGCGTGGGTAAGGTCTATTTCTGGGTATCTATGTTCCTATTAACCTCTGTGATGGTGGGCTTTTTATTTGTGGCTCTTGCAATGAGATATTCCAACTTTTACAAAGCGTTTCTGTTCAACGTAATCAAGGGCCAGTTTCGATTCAAAAGAAGACAAGATTATCAATACGGAGTGTACCTTGGGTATGCAGCAAACGACCACTGGTTTCCTTGCCACATAGTTCGTGCGTATCTAGAAGAAAGTCTTGGAGACACGGTGTGCCTCGCAGACAGAGACTTCCCAGTCAACCAAGATATGGCCACGAGCATCATGGAAGGCATCCACAGAAGCTGGCGCACAGTCCTAGTAATCACGGAAGACTTCCTACGGCGTGACCAATGGTCAGAGTTTACTATGAAGTACTCTGTGTATGCACAGGGCCCCGAGAATCCGTCTCGTATCGTGGTGATTGTGGAGGACAGACTAAGGCATCTCATTCCGACACAGCTTCTCGGGGCGGTCAGTGATGAGAACATTGTCAGTGTGCCTGAACTGCGTATGTGTTACGAACTCGGTCAAAGACTGAAGTTTTTGGTTTCTTCCAACTGATTTGCTTCTTCAATATGAAAGGTCTAAATAGCTGGAATATATGCTTATTATTAGGAAGTTCTGTAAACCGGGGTGACTAAGGCACCTTTTTTAGCTTGTATGATTCATAATTTTAGAAGTCACGAGTTTAATTTAACATGTATTGGTTCAAAATAGGGGGGCTGGTGGAATAGTATCGATCTAGAACCTTTTGGGATAAAATAAGTCCAATTCTTTCTTAAAAATGTCGGAAAATAGGGGGGTGCCTAAGTCACCACGGCATGGGGTGACTCAGGCATCCTCATTCAGTTCGCTTTTAACATACTAAATCTCACATGAGGGTAACTTAAGGCATAATTCAAGCAGTAATGTAGACCATTGAATATCAGTTCATAAATATTGCTATTTTGACTTTCCACAAAGAAAGAGCAGTTCCCTGCATTTCATTCAATTCAACCCCCCCCCCCCCCCCCCCCCCATCGATTAAAGTTGCAATGTACCCGTTATGAATAACAATTTAGCCTATGCATAAAGTTATTCAATGTAGATTTTCTGGTACCGTTCCAGATCTAGTCTGCAGTTCTAATGGTATGTTAGAATTTAACTCAACGAAGTCTTCAAAGAGGTTCATGGTTTGTCTCTGATTTTCAACGCCAATCTCGGACTCCGAGTTTGAGGAGAGAAAATCCTGTTCTAGAAGCTCTTCCTCATTTGGTTGTGCCGTTCTGCCTTCATAACAGGCAAATGCAGACGGCCTTGCTTAACATCATCCCCGGAGCAACATCCATCCTTTTGAGACGAAGTCTCTTTGCACAAGCAGACAGATCGCCAAATTGCATTTCAAGATTCGAATATGCCCACGAATCAGAAATATTGGTACTGGTACCAATATAATTAGCCTCCTCTATCCGAGAACTCTCAACAGAATGTTCGCCACGTGCCTTTGAGAGTTCATCATCAGAAGTTCTGGTGTGTATTCAAGCCCCATGTTTCGGTTTGTTAGCTCTATGGCTTGTTGTCATTCAATGTGTAATCGGTCTGGGGGAAAGTTGCAAATCCTGCAAAAAGCAGCAAACAAACATAAAAGTGATGACTGGATGCCGCTGATAAAGAAATACTTTATGCAATGTTCCTTGCAATTTGTCAAGTCACTTCTTTCATGTTATAAAATGTAACACTACGGTTTACTGATGGTTGAACAAGTATCAGTACTGTAACCAAATAGGCATTTGAAATAAATGTATCTGTCCCGTATAAAACCCTGATATTATGTTGAGTGAGAAGATATATCTTTACAAAATTACAGTTTTTGTGTATGAAAATTCTCAAAATATCACTTTTTTAGTCCAGATACAGGCCCCAAGTCAGGGTGCCTTAGTCAACCCTACCATGTCACTGGATATCGGGCCATGCCCTTTCAAACCCGTAACTGAAATATTTTCTTTCAAATTCACGAATTCTATCGTTCATCTGACTATCCAAGAGCCTAATATCCACCATAAAACATTTTAAGTGTAATAGATTAGGAGGTATTCACCAACGTTTGAAGGAATCTAGTAGAGGTCGATTTTAAATGCTGGTGATCGAAATTTTAAAAACAAACCTCAGATCCACCAATAATGTTCCTGCTCAGCTATTTTTGACTGTGTGTAAATACACCCCATATTGATTACTCTTTTGGGTAATGCATTGAAAAAATTAGTTAAAATCTCTTTTGATGTCGAAAAAATGATGCTCAAAATCATCAAAACATTTCCCAGTTACATGCCTTAGTTACCCCGGGTGCCTTAACACCCCAGTATACCGATATTTAGATTAAAAGCCAAAGACAACTCATTCTTTGGAGGAAAGAACGGATTGGAAATTACGATTTTTCTAAGAGAACATGCTATTGACGACAGTTACATGATAAAACGATAATAATAATACGAAGTGACTATTTCTCCGAACGTTCGGAGAAATAGTGCCGATCTTTATTTCTCCGAACGGTTTCCGGCTTCCGCTCTAGTCGTGATTGTTTGCCTATTTGCGAGAGTTCGGCGCCAACTTTCATTCCGTCATTCTGCGAGGTCTGGGAAGGAGCAAATCAAAGGTGGTATCTGTTCTCAGCTTCTCCTCCGGCCGTGTGCCCACTGGTTTAGCGAGGCGGGTACTGCCTGAGGCACCCGAGAGACGGAGAAATCTGACCCTCTTTTCTATTGAGTGGACGGTTATCGTCCATTAAAAAAAAAAAACAGAGCAAATTTTTGGGTTTAGATCTATTTCAATTTTCAAGAGCTAGATCTAGTCTAGAGATTTTTAGATGAGTGTAAAAACGTGAAAAAGAAAGGTTTCACAACAGAATGAAATCAAAACTAGAACAGCCCAGAAACAACCACAACAATTAACAAATAAGGGCGTGTGTCCACCTGTCCGAAGAAGATTGACCGTTTTAACCCTAAATGTGCGTAATTTGTTTTAAAAAAGTACAGGATATTGCATGGAAATTATGGAACCACAAACAGGGGGCCTGCCAGTGTCAGTACATGTACTTGGTTTTGGTATAACGCTCTAACATAGCACATTTAAATCTATACAGGTATATATATTTAGAATCTAATGAAGGTAGGAACATCAAATTAAATGACGTTACACAATACCTTTTGTAGGAACATCAAATTAAATGACGTTACACTATACAACCCCCCCCCCTTTTCCCCAACAAAAAAAAAAATTAACAGAAAAACAACACATCAGAACAATAACAAGAAAAAAAAATACACACCAACAAAATATAACACCACAAAGAGGGAAAAATGAACGAAAAATAAAAGAGGAACAGCAATACAAATCGTATGTAACTGTAACGTATTCAACAAATCAACGTGGTGACAACAAGTGAGAAAGAGACGAAGTGAAGCTAAGTGAACTTTCTTTCAAAAGTAAAGAGTTTCATTTTCTTTTCTTTTTTTTTGACTTTTTCGGGGACCAAAAAATCGAGCCACGATTGATTGGTCGCGGCCTCGACAAACGCAGATGCTAGCTCTATGTGTCGTTATCAATAACCCTCCATAGATCTAGATCTAGACAGCTCACGAGTGAACGCAACACATTAAGTTTAAGAGCAGCACCCTTCATAGGCCACACGTCATATCTGTAGCGAAAAACTGTTTGGAACTGTAGCATTTCTTTATATAAATACGGACATTTTTTGGACCGATTGAACCATATTGTATACGAACAATCTTTGGTAGGCCTATAATATAATTATAGATCTATATTTTATTTTTATTATCCGAAATATGCGGGAAAGGGTGTGATTCCAGAGTGTTCGGAGAAATAGTGCCCAGCTTTATTTTCCCGAACGTTCGGAGAAATAGTGCCGGCCATAATAATATTAATATTGCTAGCAGTTTGTTGAACCTTGGTTTTTTTTTCAAATCTATATTCACGGGTTTGATTAGTCAAGAGTGTCTCAACACTCGTTACTGAAGTTTTTAAAAAGTTTTTTCCCTCGTTACGTCTAGAACATGTTGACGCTGTACCACAGACTACGAAAATGGGTCCACTTCACAAGAGTAGATATAGAAGCTTCATAAAACCTCCTTTTTTTCTTTAAAAAGAGCTGAATGCCTGTCTGAGCGATAAGTTTTATTTCTTCGGCGCCGTTGAATGTCGTCGCTGGTGAAAACTCGAGGGCGTAACTCGAGTGGGTTTAATGAGTTCTGTAAAGATTATCTTGTGTGAAGAAGCTTGCATGAGGGAGGGGTGGGTCACAACCGTAGGCTACCCACGTTGATTTCAAATAAATCATTCTACCCCGTAAATTTGTAGACCTGGAGAAAAAGTACTGTACTTCAAATATCCCTCTCCCCCCCCCCTCCCCAAATTTCACCTCCACCAATCCCTATTCTGAGTGTTGTGTTTTGTGTGTTTGGCGGGAACACAGGACAACAAAATTAAAGAAAAATAGAATCAATTAATACGGAAGGCATGAACAATTTCAACAGCTATATTCCCCTACTTCGATGAATTATACATTATAGCGTGCACTTGAAAAAATGATTTCATCTTTTTGGACAATAAACATCACTTGTTCCCTCAAATAAAAATATCAGTAAGAAGTAAAAGACCTAGGCTTCTGATCTGTAACAAGACCAGATACAGAAGGCAATTCTTACCTTTATCCATCAAACTTATTCTGTCTTAAATCCTCTTGTTGTAATTATTCGTGTGAGTGTAGAGCATGCGTCAGAATACCGTTGAGTTACAATCAGAATACTAAGTATGTGTCTAGCTTAACATTATTATTTTTATATGACTGTTTACCTATATTAAGCATGTGACTGTGAGCCTGTTTGTGAGTGCAAGCACACTATTATATTACTCGTATTATTGTTATGTGCACAGATTATGTGTGCGGAAGAAAGGACGTGTGATGGAAGAGGGTGTGTGTATATAGGTTTGCACATGTGCGTGCGTATACGTATGTATGTGCATGTTTCTTTATTTGTGTGTGTATGTGTGTGTGCATGTGCGTGTGTACGTGTGTGTGTATGTGTGTACGTGGTGAAACACCAAACCTATGTGCCAAGATCTGGACAAGAAAGATGTATCTTATCTTTACTGTGTGTGTGTGCGTGTGTGTGTATGTGTGTGTGTGGGGGGTGTGTGGGTAGGTGTGTGGGTGTGTGCGTTTGTGCGTTTGTGCGTGCGCGCGTGTGTGTGTGTGTGTGTGTGTGTGTGTGTGTATGTGTGTGTGTGTGTGTGTGTGTGTGTGCGTGTGTTTGTGTGTGCGCGATTGCGATTGTGTGTGTGTGGTGAAACACCAAACCAATGTGCCAGGATCGGAACAAGAAAGATGCATATTATCTTATCTTATTATATCTTATATTTGTGTGTGTGTGTGTGTGTGTTTGTGTGTGTGTGTGTGTGTGTGTGTGTGTGTGTGTGTGTGTGTGTGTGTGTGTGTGTGCGCGCGCGTATGTATGAAATTTGACTACATAATATTGCATTTGTTATACATTTTGATTACTTAACATAAAATCATAGT